TATGGTACGGCGCAAGTTTGTGAGCGATAATAGTTTATGTTTTATATGCTTAAAAACTGGGCATAGTGTTAGTTCTTGTACTGCTTCTTTTACATGCAAAAAATGTGATGGTCGTCATAATACACTGTTACATATAGAAAAYRTTAGTACAAAGAATARCAGTGAGATGACACAGAAAGAAAAGTCAGATGTTCAGTCCTCTACGTCCAAACCAGGTGAAAATAACACGGTGTTCTCTGGTGCGATATCGACACAAGCCACTGTAGTGTTAGGTACTGCGGTTGTTCGTATACAAGATGACGCAGGTGTTAYTCATCAGGTTCGAATTTTGTTAGATAGTGGGTCACAAATTTCAGCCATTACTGCAGATTGTGCCACTAGACTTGGTCTTAAACGCAACAAGAGTCATGTAGAAGTAGTTGGCCTCTCTCAACAACCGGTGTCCAAGGTAAAAGGTGTTACTCAGTGCGCGTTTTTCCCGCTTCAGTCAGATCAACCATTGTTTAAAGCAAATAATGTTATAATATTGTCCCAAATTACTGGATTAATGCCAACGTGTTCTCTCCCTGCTACGGTGCGCACACGATATCAACACCTAATATTAGCTGATCCGGAATTTGATCTTCCTGGCACCGTGGACATGTTAATAGGAGGTGATTTATACCCGATGATTTTGCAGCCAAAAGCGGATATTATACATACCCCTGGATTGCCGTCAGCAATGCACACAAATCTCGGTTGGATAATTGTTGGTTCACTTAAGGATCCTACTTCATTACCTCTGATGTCGTTAACTATTAGTGCAATACCAGTCATAAATGAAACCATGCAACAATTTTGGAGGGTGGAAGAGCCGACAATCCCAGTACACTCAACGACAGAAGATGACCGATGCGAAGAGTGGTTCTCTAAAACAGTGTCACGGGACACATCAGGCAGGTTCTGCGTCGCTTTACCTTTTCGATCTATAATTAACGCTCAGTGTGATTTAAATCAAGACTTGGCTACGCATTGTAGTATTGGTTCCTCTCGTACCATGGCCTTAAATCGCTTGTATAATATTGAACGACGTTTAGTAAAAGATCCCGAGTTATATTCCGCGTATCGTTCTTTTATGAATGAATATCTGTCACTTGGTCACATGCGCGTAGCGGAGAAGCCAGGAAAATATTTCATCCCTCACCACGCTGTGGTCAAACGAGAGAATGGTAACATGAAAATCCGGGTAGTCTTTGACGCGTCGGCCAAATCGTCATCTGGCCTCTCACTAAACGACTGCTTGGCGACCGGACCAAAATTGCAGGGAGACATTACCGACATACTGCTTCGAAGTCGTTTCCACAAGTACATGTTCATTGCCGACATTGAAAAAATGTATAGGCAAATCCGAGTTTATGACGCCGACTGCGTATATCAACACATACTTTGGAGAAATTCGCCCGACGATGAAGTCCAAGAATTCGAATTATGCACTGTCACTTATGGTGTCAACGCAGC